TTTCGCTGAATCCGAATCTATAGAGTGGCCATGATGCCTTGCTAGCTAGGGGCCAATCTTAGTCTATGTGTAATGAGACAATTAATTGGTGTTAATCGCAATACTACACACTACCGATATGATGAGAAACCTATGGGTCACACACTTAGAACATAATTTAAGAATCAATTTGTGAGAAGGGTATTTTCGTCTTTTAGGACGAAAGGGTATTTTGGTAATCTCACGGTGCCATTAAATTTGCAGAGGTTGTTGCCTTTATTTAATTTGATATTAAAATTAAATTAGTGAGATTATAGTTAAATATATATGTGCGCATATATTTAAATGAATTATTATTATTAATTAAATGTTAACATATTATTATATATTAATTGATTTTAATTATAATAATAATTAATTAATTTAAAATACCAATTATATGGTGTTTGGTTGCAAGGGTGAACTAGGGTTGGAGCCCATGGCTATTCCTAAGTGGAATAGGGTTTTAATTGTTACATTATATAAGTACAACTTAAAATCAAAACAATATAGAATAATTGTTCATTTAGTTAAAACCCTAGCCACACAAAATCTCTCTCTCTCTCTCTCACATTTCACTCTTGAGTGAAAAAGAAATTTTTTTTTCTTGTTCTTCTTTCTTGATTCTTGAAGCCCTTGATTGTTCTAGCAAAATAATCAAGGGTTCTACAAATTGTCTTTGTGTGAATTTCCATGAGTGAGATCCTACTTTGGATCAATTAGCGAAGAATCACATGAACAGTTTCTGGTGAACAATGTCAATGAACAGTTTCTGGTGAGCAGTGTTGATGAACAATAGCCAGTGAACAGTGCTGTGAACAATGATCGTGAGCGAAATCAGAGATACTTAGAGGAGCCTCCAAACGTGTGTAAGCATTCTGAATCCTTGTATGGATTTATTATATTGTTGTAATGCAAAATTTATAAACACTATAATCTGTACCCAGATTTGGGATTAAGCATATGATCAGTTTTTATTTGTTTTGAAACTGTGTTTTTCTGCTGCATATACCCGATCACATGCTAACAAGAATATGGTTCTAGTTATCAACAACTTGTTAAACGACTCATCTACTTTACAATGACAGATTGGACATCAGCCATGTAGTTTAAATTCTCAACCAATTTATGCATCCACCGAAGCAATCACATATGGATGTAGCAATTAAAGTACTCAAGTACTTGAAAGGCTGTCTGAGGCCAGGACTTCTCTTTCCATGAGAAGGAAACTTGAGTATCACTGCATACTATGATTCAGACTGGGGATCCATTCTTAGAATATGGTTCTAGTTATCAACAACTTGTTAAATGACTCATCTACTTTACAATGACATGATTGGACATCAGCTATGTAGTTTAAATTCTCAACCAATTTATACATGCACCAAAGCAATCACATATGGATGTAGCAATTAAAGTACTCAAGTACTTGAAAGGCTGTCTGAGGCCAGGACTTCTCTTGCCACAAGAAGGAAACTTAAGTATCATTGCATACTACGATTTAGACTGGGGATCAAGTCCAATGATTCGAAGGTCGCTCATTGGGTTTTGCATTAAACTTGGAGGGTTAGTTATCTCATGGAAGACAAAGAAATAGTCAATGGTATTTCTTTCATCGGTAGGGTCTGAATATAGAGTCATGGCTAAAACCACATTTGAAGTCACTTGGATCCTTGGGAAATTAAAGGATCTAGATATACAAGTGATGAAAACCGGTCAAGTTGTACTGTGACAAGAAAGTAGCGAACAACATTGCAACTAATCCAATGTTCCATGCGAGAACAAAACACATAGAGATTGGCTACCACTTTATCAAAGACAAGATTTAAGAGGGTACGATCAAACCTGAGCACATTCGAACCATGGATTAGCTAGTTGATATCTTCACGAAACCATTGAGTCACAAACAATATTCACATCTATTAAGCAAGCTCAGAGTTTATGACATACATAAACCACAAGCTTGAGGGGACTATTGATAGGGAATGAGGATATTGTGCATTGAATGGAGATATGATATGGTTCTATATGGAGAGTGGATATAAAATATTATGCTACTTCGTTATTATTAAGATTATGGCATTATTCTCTACTATTGTATTTCCTTACATGAATTATTCTTTCTTGTATAAATAGATGTATTATATACATGTGAGATATATCAATCAAATACAATTCTTTACAAAACTCTTTGTTCTATTTTTCTTATATTTCTCTCGGCATACTTGGGCAGCCTAGTTGCCTCTCTCACCTCTTCATCATCAAGTTCTGACACCTCTATGTTCTTTCTCTCCCGTCTCTTTTTCCTCTTCTTCAATCTTTTTACTTTTTGGATCTAATAATTAAAATGGTAAAGCATTAGTTATGGTGGTTGGTCGTCATTAGAGATGAGCAGTTGTGCTTCACAATCCTGCCCTGTGTCAAGGGTGGACTTGTCTCCCTTAATGATTTTGTTTAATTGACTTTGCTTTGAGTTTCAATTACTATTGTGTTTGATTTAATTGTTTGTGCAAAATGAAAATGTTATTTTCTTCTTAGCTTGACTTGTTTGTTTAGAGATGTAATTGTCTAAGAAAATATGAGTAGAATGGAAGAATCAGCCAAGAAAGGAAAAAATTAGTAAAAAATTAAAGAGGGAATTTTCCCTAAAAAAATATAAGGAAAAAAAAAAAAAGAACAAAAATATTTGTTTAAGATGCTGATTGAACAAGAGGAAGAGGAGACTGGAGAAAAAGAAGATAGAAGAGATAAAGAGTGGAGAGAAAAAAAAAAATCTAGGAAAGCAATGATAAAGGAAAAAGAAAAAAAATTGGTTTTTATTTTCTTAGATATGCAAAATGGATATAAGACTAAGGCAGAGGAAGAAGAGAAGGAAAAGAAAGAGAAGAGAGAGGGCAAGTGATGTGGAAAGCCTAGCTAGTAAATAGGGGTACGACAAAAAAAAGGTATGAGAATTTTATGGGTATGATACGGTAAATGGTGAAAAATATGTTTATAAAAATTCGGTCATAAAATTCAGATATGGGAAAAATACGTACATATATATATATATATATATATATATGAGTTTAATATGGTATATTGTCAATAATACGTTTTAAAAAATATAGCAATAGAAATCTTGGTTTTAGCACTTTTCAAAACATCCTGATTTAAATAATTCATTGTCGTCAACCCTACAATTTATTTTCCTTTTTATTTAAAGTATACTTTGAACAATAACTAAGACTAGTATTTTTGTCCGTGATTTTACAGTTACAAATACAAAATTTGGATTCCAATTATTATAGCTGTTTTATTTTCTGAATTTTATGTTCTGAATTTCATTAGATAGTGCATTCAAAGGTCAAATAATAATAGTGTTATGAAATTTAAAAACATGACAAAGTGCACATGGGTTTACGATTTGCAGTTGGCATTGGACCCATCAGAGACAAATTAATCAGAGGTTGCAAGCTAATGGGTTGTTGTGTTTTTCTTCTTCTTTAAGTATCTGCCAATTCCAAATCCAAACCCGACAATATTATTTTTATGAATTCATGCTTTTCTTTTGCAGTTTTACCTTTACCTTTTGCTTTCACAAATGATCTTTAGTCTTTTCATTTGGACCCATACAATACAAAACAACAAAACAACAAAACTAAATGGAATATTGTGTTAAAAAAGATACCAAATATAACTCTCACAAGCATTTTATTAAACATGTTTCAAGCAAATCTATCAATCCACCAACATAACAAATTCATCAATCCACCAGCCCCTACTACTACTACTCACACACTAGCACAAACATAAGCAAATCGCCAACATATGAGATTCAAAGAGAGTTTAAAAGAGAAGATAAGAAGTGTGTAGCTTAAGGCTTGGAGAGTTGAAGTCTTGGACTTAAAGCTCGGAGAAGAGAGTTAAAAAGAAGAGAAGAAGAGATCAAGACTCAAAAGTCAAGAGATGAAGAAAATAGAGTTAAAGAGATGAAGATATTTATAGATGAATTGTTGAAGATTTGAAGAAAAGATGAAGACTGTTGAAAGAGAACTAAGGAAGAGGAGAAGGAGATTTCCTCTAATTTTAGTCAAACCCCCACCAAAATGACGTCGTTTTGCCTTATCATTTAATGATTTTTTTTTCTTGCAAAAATTCGGAAAAAATTCTACAATAATTCGTGAATTATACGGATAGAGTATATAATTCGTGAATTATATGACAACCTTGATAAAATACGTGAATTAGCATTTTATATGTAAACTATACGGCCAGTCGTGTAATTTACATATAAAACGCAAATTTATTAACTAGGGTGGAAAGTGGTAACATGGCAGGTGATGTGGAATGTCACATCAATTGCCACATCACTTTGTACAAAGACTCTTATATTCTGTAAGTCTAACATTTTTGCATTAATTAATTATATACCGGTGTATGGTATTGTGTACACTTGTATATTATATTAACGAAAATATAGTGAATCCTTTCTCATTTATGGATATAGGTAAGCTATGTTGAACCTGTAAATATAGTATCTCTTTGTAGTGTGAGTTATTCCTATTTTATTTATCTCGATATAATGTCTCTTTTTAATATAATTTATTCCTATCTTATTTATCTTGATATATTTATTTTCCTCTAAACAATCTCCTGACACCTTTCTTTGAGAACACAAAGAATTGCTTATCGGCTACATGGAATAAGAAAAGATTGTTTAATTAGTATTATTTCTTTGAAGTGTGGGCAACAAAACACATGAAAAATCATTCAAGCAGAGACATTACATATATTCCGGACCCAGAAACTGAAACTGGAATTCATATAATATACTTATATATATCTACATCTTTCTAATTAATGGTACATGCAGCCGAATATATACAAGAAAAATAATTCATAACTCTATCAGGATAACTTTTAAGTAGCTCTTCAGAGAAGATACATCAATGAATGGTTTACAACCCTGTTGCCTCCATTAATGTAACACAGAGCTTCTTCTAGTTTCCTCCATCAGGTAGTTTCTTCAGCTGGCTGTGTGAATAAAAAGATCAAAATAAATAAATAAACACAAGAAGTTCAACTAAAGTTCTATCTTTTAATGAACTCCTCGATAATAGTTCAAGTTCACATAAGATTTATATATATAATTTTTATACCCGGTGATTTTTCGATCGCTGACGATGTGCTTGATTGGCTCTTTGTGCTTCCCGAAGGTCTTAGATGAGGATCACTTATCACTTCCTGAAGGAAAAACCGTCAGCAGTATGTGAAACAGTCCATAGGTTTTTCACAGAGCCTAGAATTATAGTTTGTCAAACATATTACGGTTTTTCACCTGTGTCATTGAAAATGAGTTGCTCCCCAACGAGAAGGAGCTTATGTTTTCTTCAGCAAGTTCTCTCAGTTTATTCAGCTCTGGCAATACAACCTTGCCGAGATCTGGCCTATCTTTTCTTCTAAGTTCTGCACATTGGAACGCTAGCTTCGCGAAGGAAAGGGTTTCGTCCAACGGCCAGTCAATCACAGACGGATCCAGCATTTTGCTTAACGTTCCATTCTCGATAGCTCTGCCAACATTGTGTGTCAATCCCATTGGCGACTTACCTGTTATCAGTTGCAAAAGCATGACACCTAGTGAATAAACATCTGATTTTACACCAAGCATTCCGGTTTGTTGATACTCGGGATCGATATAACAGAATGTTCCAGCTGTTGATGTCATTCTGTACTGTGTTACATTCTCCGCAACAGCTGGTACGAGCCTGGCTAGTCCAACATCGCTAATTTTACTAACATAATTTTGGTCTAGTAAAATGTTGCCAGGCTTGAGGTCGCGATGAACTAATGGTTCGGGTTTGGTTTGATGTAGAAAGAGTAAACCTGTGGCAATCTCTGCTGCAATCCGGAACCTGAGTTGCCAAGATAGAGGTTGAGTATTCCGTCGGTGGAAGAGACAATCGTCTAAGCTTCCACTCGCCATGTACTCGTATACAATTATGCCATACTCTGGACAGGCTCCTAGAAGGAGTACCATATTTGGATGCCTTATGCTGCTAAGAATCTCAACCTGTATTTGGATAATGAAGACGAAGATTAGAAAAATAAACCTCAACCTTATCTATACAAGTAGTAACGTTTTTGCCTCACCTCTTGTTGAAATTGTGACCTTCCTTGAGCCGCGTCGGGACGTAGAACCTTAACTGCAACTGGTGTATGATCAAGATAGCCCTTATATACAGGGCCATAGCCTCCTTCACCAATCTTAAGATGTTCAGAGAAGGATTCTGTTGCTATTTCAATTTCATCTATAGTGTATCTCCTGTATCTTAGATCATTTTGGTCCACATTATCCAACATCCATTTTGCGCCTTCCGATTCTTGAAGGGCTTTCATCTCGAATTTCAATCTTCTTTGCGCTTCCAACTCTGCAATTCTCTTCGCCGCTTCTGCAGCTTCTATTGCAGACTTGCACTTAGCTTTCTCTTTCTCGGCAAGTGACAATGCCGTTTCCTCAGCAACCCGTGCCTCTTCAACTCTTTGCTCTTCTTCAAGTCTCCAGCGTTGGAGCTCCATTGCCTGCAGTAACCATATCAATATAGCGTTCCATATGCATTTAGGAAACAGGTGTTTAGACTACCTTTTGTTTTGCTAGAAGAGCTTCTTTGCACGCCGTACTGTACATATCCATTGTTTGTTTTAGCTCGAGCTTTAACCGCCTCATTTCAGCTTCCACTTCATCCTGTGAGATTGCAATACATTCATATAATGTTTAGTCAAGCTTAATTATTGGACTAATAAAATATTGAGCGCTCGCCTATTAACTAAAGCTTTTCTAGTTTAAACTTTTAAGTGGGATGAGAACTTAGTATTAATAAATCATATCATTCTTTTTGAATGTTTCAACAGTGAATCAAATACTAGGAAAATCTCAAAAACTTTCATTGCTGCTTAAGAAATTTACTTTTACCTTTCTTTCCTACATTCACAAAAAAATTAACTCTATGATCCTAGTCTATATCACAAATGATCAAAATGCCATAGTGTAATCCATCAAGTACGCCTGTGAAATCCCTAATTGAATACTCGAATTTAAAGCTTACCAAGTTCTGTGATGAGCATGAGCATGATGTTCTTCCACTTTCCTGTGACATTGATGAGAATTCATGGCAAAATTTGTCATTAAATTTAATTCCCAAACGCTGTGATCCAAAGCTATGGTCTGAGTTGGTTGATACCCGCGAGGGTTGGGATACATCAATGTAATCATAGACTATAGGAGAGTTATGCTCAGTGCTTGGCCTGCCAGAGCTAATGAATGATATATCAGTTTCTGCTTCTGAGAAGACCTGGAACGACCTTCTCTGAAATCTTCCTCTAGTAAAAGGTGATCTGTTTTTCACATAATGGCTAGGGGTCAGTCCCTCGTTAAAATTCTTAATGTCAAAGCTAGGACAATATAAATAAAAGAACTTCTAATCTCAATAACATTGTGAATTATTATTATTATTTTTTTAAACTGATGACTCTTAGCCCTGTTATATCGATATTAAAAACTCCTAAATTAATTTGTATGTGTTACGATCCTGATTGGGTCTCACATTACTAAAGAATGGGCTTGATACTGGGTTAATAATTACGTGGACACCCTCTCCTCACTAGCCGGTTTTTAGTTTCGCATTTCTGTGACGGTTACAATTGTTATCAAAGCAGGACCATCCTCGTAGGAGGCGACCTAGAGTTATAAAAGTTGTGTTACGGATGGGGTGACGAAGAGGTATAGAGTCTTGCTAGCACGACCTGGAGGTATAGAGATCACGCCGTGGATGGGCTGACCTAGCGGTATGGAGCCCTGCCAGCGCAACAGGGAGGTAGAGAGCCCTACCAACTGATATAACGATTTCTACGAATTTTTGGCTGTGGTTATAGCGAATTCTACTCATTTGTAGTTTCTATCTATTTGTGGTTGTTACGATATGAAATTTTCTATCAACTTAATATTGTATTAAAGCTTACTTGACAGACTCTTCGTGTGAGTAACGAGGCTTGGATGACGTCCTGTCTGCAGAATACTAAGATTAATTAGAATTTTACCACAAAATTGTTAGAACTTAAGCAAGAAAACTTTTCCACAATGAAGAAAAGGCTTTATAATTTAGAGAAACAAACCTCTTAAACTCTTAATATTGTTAGCATGTGTCTCAGAATGATCATTATGGACCTCTAGTTGATGCAATAGCGGGGAGGTGAATGGGGCTGCACGAGAAGCATTTCGTTTTGAAGAAATTTTCCCTTTGGAAATGACATATACATTACAGAAATCGGGTGCTGCTTTCGATGCACTCGTGGGAACATCAGTCTTGAATTTTCTGCATCACAAAAACAATCAAAGTGTAAGAATTTGGATATGTTCTAATGTTACAATCTAGAAAACTAAATTAACAATGAACTATTCTTGAGTTGGCATAATCTAATTTTACTGGATTTTCTCCCCTTTTCTTAATTTAGACTGTTATATCACAAACAGTCTATGTAATTGATGAAATTTTTTTCAAAAAATGATGTTTGAGAAATTTCAAGACCTCATAAATCCATGCCGAGAAGGGGCACCAAGAACCAAATTCTCAATTGCTGCATAAGAAACATATTCTGTTAATGCTTTTGCGATATCCGTGCCTTCGAGTGACACATCCAAGCAATGTATCTGACAGAAGAAATTGCATAGTTAAACAACCATTTGAGAAGACACAAAGAAAGATTGAAAGGATAATTAAAACCAAAAATACAAGAAGTTATTCAGATGTAAAATGGGTAGAATAGGTCAACATTCTTAGAAATTATATTGTTGGGTATGAATATATGAAATAACAATATTTCTTATAACAACACAACATTTAGTAATCTTAACATAACTAATAAAATAACCAATTTGACATCTCTAAAGGCATGGTTGACGTTTATATTCTGTGAATGAAATTTTATCTCAAACGATTTTTAAACCTACATCTTTACGCGTACAATAGCAATGAAACGTGAGGAAGAGATCTTTGTTTTGCCTCTCAGGTTGATGTTTATAAGGTGATGAATTGACATCATGAACTTGGCTATGGCTATAACCTGCAGTCAAAAGGAAACAAGGAGAAACATGTTAATTTCTCAAAGGCTTGCATTCAAACAATTATCTGACAACATCAGAATGGCAACATACATCTAATTACATATTTGCCTAGAATTATACGTGTTACATTCAGAAATTCTATCAATTTCAATATCAACACAAAAAAAAGAGAAGACAATAAAATTAAAAATATTGATGATTACCAGAAAGGAAAGAGTTACTTTGATTAGAGGAAGGTGTTCTATGAAGAACATGGATTAATATAACAGTTTGGCCCTTGGCGAGAAGATTATCAAGTGCCCATTTGATAGCAAATTGGCTTCCTTTATCCTTGTCTATTGCAACTGCAACTAGCCCGTTCCCACTAGTTTTCTTTGTCGTCCCATGTCCCTTTGGGAGCCACATTGTATTCTTTCTTCCTATAACTTGAGAAAATAATGTTTGTTTTTAAAAATCTAACAAACTAACTTTAACAAATTGTGTAGTTTAAATCTGAATTTTGTTATGAATAATTTTTTTAACTTGTTTACACTATTTGTTGTTAATTTGCAAACAAGGAGGCTAAGAGAGGCTTGAAAATCCTCTTTTTTTTTTTCACTATCTTCCTGTTGAAAACTAAACAACACTTTGACCACCGCCTTTGATTATCTCCATTTCTGTTCAGCATTTATCGGCTTTTCTATTTTCGGTTTTTTCAATCTGAAGCTATCCTAAGAAATAGAGTTGACAGGAAATTTGTCTACCAGGTAAAAAATAGCAAAGCTAGAAAAGAAAAGGGAAAATAATAAAATAAAAAACCCACAATTTTCTCCCTATCTAATTATGCCATTTTGATTGTAAGATGAACTGTTGTTCAATAAATAGTGGAAAACGATATGAATATTCATTAGTTTTGGACCATTACAGGAATTATTGAAAGAGCTACTTTGTATTTATCTTTATTGACCTTTTTTTTCAACTTTTTTGAGGTGATATTGTGTCAAACTGCAATATAATAGAATGATATTAGATAATAATATTTTTTAGGGATTGGATCTTTTATCTTGAATTTTTATTCAAATCGTTGACACAAATTTTCAACTCCTTATCCGTTACAAGTCAATGGTTTTAAGGGGCCGTTTGGTTGACGGTAACGTGAGATTACTGAAGTTATATCATCTGCTATTACTTGATTATCATGTTTGGTTGTCAGGGAATATAAGATTCCGGTAATCTTCAAATACTAATAGTAGTTACTATTGGTAATATTGGAGGTAATCTGATTACTTCCATTTGATTAGGTATTCTAAGATTACCAGGGTAATCTTTTTTTTTTTTTTGTTACAATTCAATCTCTTATTAATAAAATTTTAGGACAATAATGCCCTTATTTTTAAATTTATTTACGTGAATATGACTTTCACTATTTCACCCCAATTAAATAACTTTTGGACAAAATTACCCTTGAATTCAAAACAAATTGCAGCCCACCCAAGCCACCACCCCCACCCACCTACTGCCGAAAATCGTTGCCACCGAAATGGTGCGCAAAAGGCCAAAAATGGTCGCGGTGCATCAATATGGCCATTTTCGACCAGATGTCTAGTTGGAAATGGCCAGATTGTGCCATATCTGGCCGTTAACGGCCATCAATCTGGCCGTTGACTGCCAGATCAACGGATCTAGCCGTCGACGGCCAAATCTGTAACGGTTGGCCATTTTCGGCTAGATCTCTAGCCAAAAATGACCATACAGCACACAAAGGCCATTTCCTGCCTTCCGTGCGCCATTAGGTTGTCGGCTGCCGGCGACCTGCGGTGGTTGCCAACGGCCGACAGTGGCTGGGTTGGTAGAGGTGCTTTGTTGATTTTCCAAACTTTTATTATGGGGTTGTTTTCGCTAAGTTTTTAAATGCAGTGGGATTATAATAATCCAAATAATAATCAATATTAAAAAATAATATAATAATAATATTTAATTAGAGGACAATTCAGTAATTTAAATAACATACCAGCCAATTTATTCCTCACTAAGCATATTAATATAATATACCCACCAATTAACTAAACACATTTTCCTAAAGATTTCCAGTAATTTTTAAGGTAATCTAACTTCTCAATAATCCAACATTCTCTTAATCAAACGCCCCCTAAGAGTTAATGAAGTGGCAATTAAACTAACTGTCTCCAACTTCCATCTTGTATAATATCTTATTAGATTAAAATAAATTAATGATCATGAATTTTCCCACAGAGTCCTTGGACTCCAAATTCAAAGGTTTAAATAATTAGGTTATTTGAAGATCTACCTTGACGACAAATGTTAAAAAATTTAAAATGGTACATTTAAGATGAAATATTGCATATTGCTCATTAATTTAGGGCAGATAACACAAACTACCCTATATTTTCACAATTCATCTATAAACAATAATTATTTCAATATGAAATACTCTTGTAATTTCATAATTCATCACTTTGAGTATCGTTGAGATTAAAAAAAAAAAAAAAAAAAATTCCTTGTAGATTATAAAAAAAGGTCATGAAAATATCCAAAACCTTTCCTAGCAAGGGGGTCTTTTGTAATTTTGATAATGGTTGGATACACTTTATATTGATTGATATTATAGGGGTATATAAAATGCTAGAATTTGATAGTGGATTAGCGTTAAAGCTCAATTTGCATAGTAATTAGTAAGTAATAATATTTGGTTTATTGGGTAATCTGTCTTGTGTCACGTCCAAACCAAGCCCAACTCCGCACGAGGCCCAATATCCAATGCAAAAAGCTTGACCTAGACTTAACCCAAGAGTATTATAGAATATGTTAGAGGATATTTCCAGAATTTTCCTTCACCAAAAAGGCAATAGAAAATGATTAAGATTCTATTGCTTGTATAATTAATAAGGCATCCATCTTAATGGATATATAGCGATCTAGACCGTCAGATCTACTTGCAAACTCCTATATAAACCTAGCTAGTCTTAGGTAATTTTCATAGTCTAAGCATTGTATTTATTTCAGAGAAATATAATAGAGTTTTTCTCTTTATCTTTGTTCTTCGTGTTCTTGTTGTTCTTTGAGAGTTTGTGGATTATTTAAGCTGACTTATGCCAAATTTCTTGTTTGTATACTAAGGCCGCACGATTCTTCTAGGGTCGTGATAGTTGGCATTAGAGCATTGGTTTTCAGATCCCATCTCAAGGAAGCGAACGATGATAGGAAGTGATGGCAACTCAAGTGATGCAAGCATAGAGCATGAGGATGTTCACAAGCCATAGAAGAAATCTCGTGGCCATTTGAGAACTCATGATGTGTTAAGATCCATGGAAGCAAAGTCGGCTAAATTTAAGTCAGCATTGGCATACCATGTTAAGAAGACCATGTTGAGAAGCTAGATCAACTAGATAAATTTGTGGAGGAAGCCAACAACAAGTTGGAAGGAGTTGGAGACTCCATCCTCAATGTTGTTTTTAAAAGTGTCACAGAAAGTCGTCAAGCAACCATTGACTTTATCAAAGCTTTTGAAACAAAGATGTTTGAAGCATTGGCCAAGCACCAAGCTCAATTTAAGGAGGTGAAGATGGACTGGGCTATTTATAAGAAGGTAATATCAGTGGGACCAATCATTTATTCATCTATAGTTGCAGCACCATGTATTGAAATTCCTAAACCCAAGGAGTATAATGAGAAAAGAGATACAAAGGAGATGGACAATTTGCTTTGGCACATGGAGCTCTACTTTAATGCAATCAAGCTGCTCAATGAAAAAGAAAAGGTAAATCAAGCAATTATGTATCTTCATGACCTTACTGCTGGTTGGTGGCATAGGAAGTATGTTAAGGTAAAGAGTGAGACTTGCAAAATTAAGACATGGGAGAAACAGAAGAAAGAGTTGAAGCACCAATTGTATCCTGAAAATGTGGCTCATGGTGCAAAGAAGTGAATGAAGGAGTTAAAACTCACTTGTTCCATAGTGAATTATGTCGAAGAGTTTTTCAAGCTAATGTTGCATATTAATAACATGAGTGAGGATGATTAGCTATTTAATTTCATAGATGGACTCCAAAATTGGGCTCAATAAGAAACACAAAGGCATGAGAGGAAAGATATGTCCTTAGCCATGATGATAATAGAGACTCTTCAAGATTACCGAATAAGTAACACTCTCTTTAAACATAAAAATTCCAAATCATGGTATGGCAAAGCTGGGGGAGCAAAATAGTTTCATTCCAATGACAGAAAGAGTCAAGCACCACCTAAGAAGGAGTGAAAAAAGGAGAAGAGAGAAAGCAAGCCTTGGAATAATTGTTTCGTATGCAACGATTCACACTGGAAGTCAGAATGTCTGAAGAAAAATGTACAGAATGCCATAATTGAAAGAGAATCGAGTGAGAAGATTCAAATGGGGTCTTTATAACTCTTCAATGCCTTGAAAGCAAATCTAGTTCTAGTCAAGCCGAATGAAAAATCCCTCATGTATGTGGAGGCTTGCATTAATGGGAAGGCTTCTCATAATTTTATTTAGAAGAGGAAGCCAATATGTTAGGCCTCAAGGTTGGCAAAAGGAGAGGTTAGTTGAAAGAATATTGAAGGGAAACCTCTTGATGGTGTACCATGTGATGTGGATCTACACTTAAGTACATGGATTAGCAAGGTAAACTTTCAGTTGTTCCTTTTGATGATTTCGACTTCGTATTAGGTATGCAATTCGTCAGGCAGTTTAACGTTGTGACATTGCCTCGATTCAACATTATTTGCATCTTGGAGGGAAACTTGTGCATGGTTTCCACAATGATGAAGCCCACCAAGACAAAGCCAAATGATAAACCACATCTTCTCTCAACGATACAACTAAAGAAAAGAGCTAAGCAAGGAAAAGCGACATATTTAGGCACTATGCACACAATGGACGATAAGAGTGATGACTTAGTAGGCGAGGTACCAAGAGAGATTACCAATGTACTTAGTGAGTACAAAGATGTAATGCCACTAGAATGCCACCTAGTAGGCATGTGGATCACAAAATTGAGCTTGAGCCAAGAGGCAAACCACCCTCAAAAGCCCTCAACTGCATTTCACCACCTGAGCTAGATGAGTTGAGGAGACAACTCAAAGATTTGCTAGAGTCAAGGTTCATCCAACCATCTAAAGTGACATATAAAGCTCTGGTCTTATTTCAGAAGAAGCATGATGGGTAGTTACGATCGTGTATTGACTATAGAACACTAAATAAGGTTGCCATAAAAAACACGTACCCTATTCCTTTAATTGTTTACTTGTTTGATCAGTTGGGCTATGCCAAGTATTTTTTTCGAAGCTTGATTTGAGGTCAGGATACTAGCAAGTGAGGATAGCCAAGGATGATGAAGCAAATATGGCTTGTGTACTTGTTATAAGGCATATGAGTTCCTCATGATGCCCTT